ACAGAACCTCTTTTGGTCATTATAGMTAGAGGAAGATTTTAATTGTCATGTCTGCTCTAATTAATCATTTGACATCTGCAGYCCACTGAGAAAAAATTGATAATTGATGGAAATTCACTTAAAAATATCATACACTCTCAAAAGAGCCTAGCCAAGATCCTAGGAAAACAGTGACCTCTGTTAATGGTTCTTTTTGCTGTCAGAAACTTTTGCATCACATTGCAGATTTATTGTGTATGTCTTACTGTTAGAATGTCACCAAAGAAAAAATAAAATATCAACCACCTAATCATTTTACTTATAAATAGATTGACCTTTAAAAACATTGTTCTCATGACAAGTTCCAGCATCTTTCAGACACAGGAAATATTAAGTCTGGCACAAGGACATCCAGTTAGCTTTGTGCATAAACTAAATTAGATTTTTCCTTTTTTAAATCACTTGTCTAGACTGATAGATTAATATGTAGACATGAATACATATTAAAATTGAATAACAGAARTTTGTTCTTGAGAAATCACAAGACCTATAGGGGTAGCTAATGAAGTAGTTATGATTAGTGCCCAGTGACCTTSGAATTTAAATGCTTCAGAGCAACAGCCGGCTGAGATGAACACGTTCCAGGTGAATTCATACATTACAAATGYCCTAAAGCAAGAATCATCTATTTGTATGTTTCTTTTTTTGGACTTCAAGCTATGTCCCAGGATGCTCCTTGGACACAACCTTGGAAATTATAAAAAAAACCCTGTGATTTTGTACCTCAAGACCAACCCAACCCATCTGTCTTCAAAATTGTTTGCTAACAGTATCCACTTCCTAATTTTTGAATTAACTGGATTTGATTTAAGATASAAAATAGGGATGCTTTTCTTATTTTTCTTCATAAGATCAATAGTGCTTCCTCACTTTCCATTAAAATAGGCAGTGTTAGTTCTGTGAACAAAGAAATCTGAGAATGATCATTAAAACTCAAAATAGATATTATCCTCAGTGAAAATTAAAATTAAAAAGGCTGATAAACATGCAAATGCCATGCATACCTGAAATGCCACCATTTTTAATGCCATTCTTTACAAATTGAAATTCAAGCTCAAACATGAACCACCCTGAGGGCATTTATTAATTAGAAAAGCATTATCCCTGGCTTTGCAGGGAGGGGAAATGTTATATGATTAGCAAATAGTGAAAGCAATAGAAAATTTCTCACTGGCTTCACACAATTAGTGCATTGAGCATTCTCCTGATGTGCCAGAGYTCTGCCACAGCAACTCAGTTGGTAGATACCTGCAATAAAACTCATAGAGTTCTTGACTCTAGTTCAGAAAATTCAGGCAAACTCCTTTGAGAGGTAAATCTCAGGTCTTTTCCTGTAAGTCCCTATGGAATGTTACTCCAGAGAAGTRGGAAAAGGTGTCACATTCAGGTCTCTATATTACAGAAAGGATTTTTTCAGAGCCCAGGAATTCATTAATTCTTTGAGCAGCACTAGRGAATTCTATCCAGATTACTGAATGGCTTACCATCTATCAGGGCCTTTCATTCCAATGTCACAGGAGAAGCTTACTGGTTTTTATGGTCAAAGTCAGGTATTCCAGCCTGTCTGAGCATTTGGTCACGTAGAAGCAGTTGGCTTTCTAAATAAAGTCAAACAGGAGGGAATGCAGCAGAGAATAAGGAGCTTATCTGTGTAAAACAAGCCTAAGTGTGTGAGACTACATGGAAGAGAGAGAAAAATGCCATAGCACAGTGGGAAAAATCCTTGACATAAACAAGAGTATTAGCGGGACATGTTTGCTCTTGACCTGAACTGTAATGCTTCCAAGCAGGGAACATGCTTTCATTAGAAATAGGCATTAATCCTAATTCTTCAGAGATGAACTTCAATTGATTTGGAATTCAGATAAGCCTTAAAACATTCACATATTTGAAGATTATCTAAATTTTTCCATAACTGGGGGTCTCACACTTCTTGGTTTCCATAAAGCTGACGTTACTGGGCACACCAGGGACTCTTGGCAGTTCTCTTTTCCAGCATCTTAATCACCCTTGTATGCTGGGTGACCCCCCTCCTTATGGGTTTCGTGTGTCCCCTAGATCCGAGGTACTTGCACTGTATAGCCTTATACTATGTCTGTTTTAGATATGTRTCCCTTCCACACCAGGATTCCTAAATATTCTCTAAATATCCTCTTTCTGTTGAGTTTTCAGTAACTCGGTTTACTCTTTCCTTACAAAATGGTATTTATGCCACTGCTCTGTGCTATTCTCATGGCATGCTGTGTAACAGTCTCTGGAAGCTGCCCTTTTTCCTGCTCTTCATGGCAGTTTCCTTGCTTTTTCAGAAGGCCTGGAATTTCCCAGTTCCACTTCAAACTCAGAGCTTAGCCCCTTTTCATTTCACCTTCTSTTATGTCCTATCTGAGATAAGACAGATAAGTTATTCACTATATAAGTTCCAGAATCCTATTGCATAGAAAAGGTTTGACAACAACAGACAGAACAATCAGCACCTGTTGGATGCTCAGCAGTTACCCATCCTCTTTCTCCTTTTCCCTTCCCACAATCATGTTTTGATTCTCTCCAAAGGAAGAATGCTTCTTCTCAGCCAGCTCTTCCAAATCCCTGAGCTTTCACATAGATTTTATGGAAAATATTACCATATTGTGATATTAAATTGAGGCTTTGTACAATGGAAGGAGCAAGATCTACCTAGCATTGTTTTGACTAGTCTATAGTAATTTTAAATTAGGTTCACATGGGATTTTAACAGAATTCTGTATAAATTCTAGATGCTTCATGATCAGGGATACAGTAGATACTTGTTTTTTACCTTCTTAGTGAACCTACCTGTGTCTTAAGACTTATAGAAATGATCTAGTTGTGTGTAGAATATGTGAATGGATATTCACAAACACACAAAGTCTAATTTCCACTCAGACTAGTGTCCCTGCTAGTAGTCCCTGTCTGGGATATGTATGGGATCGTCAGAGTTTAAAAAGAAAACAAAAACAAAAACAAAAACAAAAACAAAAACAAAAACAAAAACAACCAACAGCAAATGCAAGATAAGGGAAAAAAATCATGCTGGAGTTAGAATTTTTCATGCTTATTATTCTCTCTAAAAAACAGCTGCCAAAAGATCAATGTTATAAAAGAGGGAAGCAAAATAGATAATATGGACAGCTGAAATGATAATATGGACAGCTGAAATGTACTATCCCTGTAGACCTGATTTTTCAGAAACTGCTACATTGCAGGAAAACCTAGAAGACAATCATTATTTTTTAAGTAATTCTCCCATAGGAAAACAATTCCTCATGCAGACAAGTGCCAATATAATTAACTCCTTGGCATTATTTCCTTGCAGAACAGCTGACAGCAAAACTCAGGACAGTCTGCTTGCCCTAGAATACAGATTATTTCTCTTCCAGACATACAAAGTTGCATTGCCTCAGAGAAATATTTATAAATAATGAGGACAAAATAATGAAGTAATATGCTGGTGCRCAGATATAAGAGCAGCATTTAACTTTCAAAGATCTGAATACAACCCACAAGCGCGAGATTGCAGCGTGGTTTGTTACTGCTGGGCACCTTGCACTGACTTTTACGTGTGTGTTTAAAGTGTGTGTAGAATGTTACCTACGTATCAGCCTGCTTTGCTGTAAGGACAAAGGGCACTTTGATACCAGTTCAGGAGATTACTGTATTATGGATTTTTTTCTCAAAAATCAACTTTGCCTAAAGACAAGTACTGCATAAAGCAGCCTGAAGGCATGAAAGTCTCTTGAGAATGCCATCCATGATTTCTCTCTAAGACCTTCATCATAATCCTATTCAAGTTAAGGGGGAAAACTGCTTTTTTTTTTTTTAGAATACTGTGAAATCACTGAAAAACGAGTGTCACCACCTGAGAAGTGTGGACTCAGGGTTGTTTAGAAAATGGGGGAAAGCAACTGCTAAACAGGGCAGTTTCTTTGTCTTTTACCTAGCACAAGGTACAGTATGGACAATTTTTATGTGATGCAGCTGAAGCAAACCAACTATACCATGCCATCTTCCCTAGCTGAATTCTCCCAACTTAGGCTGGTGCTGAGTTCACCCCTGAAAAACCTCTGAAATGTACATATGTACATATATAAACGTAGAAATATATAAATGTACATGTAACAATAACATTCCCAGCATAATAAGGGTTTGGCAACTAGAACCTGTTAACAAAAGCTACCAGGCTTTGCTGGCTGCCTTGGTTCCCTCTGGGGTACATGGTGTAAGTGAGGTCTCATTTCACATTTCTGGCATCATTAGCCTCCCAGGGAGGCAGATTCCTACAGGTCTTTTCCCAGTGACTTAAGAGGAGACCTGAATGTCTACCTGAAGACTGGGCAAGATGAATCATTAGAAACTTCKGGTGAGTGACAGATTGTGTCAGATGCCATGTCAATTGTGTCTCAAAACAAAGGCATTGTCCCTTGCCAATAAGCAGGGAAACTGCTTGGGATTCTATCTTCCAGCATGGACAATTAGCACTGCTTGAACCAGACAATGATCAAACCCCATCACCCACCTACTCAGTCTGCATCTGTATGTTGAATCTGATCCTCAGAAAGCACTGAATATATTGAGAAGAAACATGGGACAGGTGCAGAGAAAGCATTGGGGCATTATTGTGCACAACCTGAGGCAAGGTAAAGAAGTTCTYCTGGAACTGGTTGGATTTCTGGGCAAACAAAGGTCATTTGTGTTATTTTGTGGAGGGCTTTMTATGAGTGTAATCTCCCCAGGCAAGGGTCATGTTTGTGTCCGTTACTTATTTTCTTTGCTCTAGTGATCCTGCAGTCCTTCCATTGACTTCAATGGGCAGTGGTATTCATGGACTGACTCTAGGATTGGGCTATTTACTAAGCAAATAATCAGAATCAGCAGTTTTGGAGTCATATGGGCACCCAATAAGCAGCCTGTTTTGTTGTTGGATTGGCTATAAAACCCCAAATCCCCTCAGCTCCTGGCTGCTGGCACCAAGGCTCACTAACAGCAAGCAGAATGGCCTTTCAATCTGTGCTCTTTGTTTTCTTAGCTGGACTGGTATTTTTCTCTGAAGCTGCACCATTGGTGAGTCTCTTTGTATTCAAACTCAACCATTACAAGAATGATAATCTAGATTTTATAGATGACTAGCATCCTCCTCATCCATGAAATTCTGTAACCATTGGGCTTTTCCAGAATGCTGTGTCTGGGGTTTTTTGACACAGCATCTTCAGAATTCTTAAAACTTTTCCTTTTTGCCACTTATTTTGAGGTATTGTGGAAGGGTCAGGGGTCTGGGAGGTATGACCTTTATTTTCTGCTTGTTTCTGTCTCTTCATGACTCACATCCTGTATCTTCAATAAAGAGGGAGCTTTGCCAAACAAGTGCTTCTCTAAAGCACTAAAAAATATTTTGAAGTATGACTAAGGATTCCTCATAGATAATGAAGCCTAACGGAAAATTCTTTCAGCCTTAGAATATCCTAGGTATTTCTTTTCTGGTTTCCCTAGCTATCATATTTTGTCTGGACTTACAAGAATTTACTATTTTCTTATCTGGGATCTCATTATAAGGCTATAACAGAATAACATTTTCCTAGAGTCATATGCAACTCTAAATATTGATCAAGCAATCTGTGCATGTGTGTGTAATAAAGTTATCAGTACAAAGCTCCAAGATAACCTGCTTAAGAAATCAATATTTGCAAACTAGCTTTGAATAGAATTTGGTACTTACTTTTAAGGGAACAGAAATTCTGCAATTAGAAACCACCTTTCCTTTGGAAGAAGGTTTTTGCAGGCTTGGTAAAGAGTTCCTATATAACCTCTTCTTTCTCCAAGGTGTCTCATGGCTCTGTTGATTCCAAATGCCCTCTTATGGTGAAAGTGCTGGATGCAGTCAGAGGAAGTCCTGCGTCTGATGTAGCTGTTAAAGTTTTTAAACAGGCTGAAGATGGAAGCTGGCAGGATTTTGCTGTTGGGTAAGTTGTGTGGTCTTCTGGAGCCATTCTCCAGGTGCCTCAGGCAAACAACTGAGAAGCTGACAGAATGGAGCTCTGATCAAAACAGCAGTGCCACATTATCAACGTTAACAGCCATAAATTCTGGTCGAAAATCCATTAGATTTATGTGGAACTTATCCATGACTGAAATGCTAATTGCAAAATATGTTCATATGCTCATCTCATTTTTGTAAGGCACTAGTCTTAATATTTAATTTTTCCTCCTATTATCTCTCCTTTCTATAGATAGAAAAAAAACAACAAAGCCTATTTCCCAGCATTTCATAGGTAAACCAGAATAACCTATCTTCATATGCAATAGATAYAGAGCTTTATTTGCAGCAGTCACATAAAAAATCCTCTCTGCAAGCTTTGTCTGCATACAGGCAAATAATGAGTGCATTATTCAGCTTCTGCTGTGTAACAAATGTGCTGGTTGGAAGAAACTTCTTGACCAGAAAGGTTTAGAGAGTCCTGGTGTAACACAACACATAAACAAAATCTCAGTGTTTGTTTGTGGCCATTTCTATGGCTCTGAATGTCTTTTGCTAGAATGACAGCTCAATACCTACAAAGCATCCTTAGGACATTACAGAGGGTCAGACAGTAATACATTCAGTCTGGGAGAAGTGTATCAGTAACAGAACACAGTTTACTAACAATCAAATAGCTGAAGTATTCAGAAATTTAACTTTCATAGCAACAACTCGTTGAATCACATTTTTAAATAACTCAAGAGAAATGTCCAKTAGCAGCAGAATATTCAAGCACTGAATGACAAGCACAAGGATGGACAGGAGTCCACAGTACATTTAACTGTCTTTTATTGGGATGTTTTATAGCATGATTTACATAAAAGCTGCAGGAAAAAAATACCCAGAGAAGAAGACTGCAAGGAGAGATAACTTTCTCTACAGCTGAATGTTTTGGTTTTTTTTAATATAATAAAAAACAAGAATTACTTTTCTCCATTGAAAAGTAGCAAGAAAGTTTACAACATTTAAAAAGAAGCAAACAACTTCACTCTCAAATGCTGAGTGTGAACCTAGGAACAAATTACTCTTAAAATGGATTTATATACTTTAATGAACAGAGAAACTCCATTAAAAAGACACCCTTTTTTCCAAGGAAAACAGAGACAAGGTTAACGCCTTATCCTAGTGAGTATTTCTTCCATTATTATGAAACCATATTATTTAAAATGCTTCATCAAGYGCTCTTTAACATCTAATACAAAATACTATTTACAGAGTAATAGGATAAATGTAATGCTGCTGTTAAATGCCCTCACTTTTGGGGCATAACGGTGTTTTCTTGTTTGGTTAGCAATGCTGCTCTCAACAAGCCAAAGGAGAAAAATCCTGTAGTTCTCAGGCAACTTCTGTTGACACTTTAGGTCTGAATGCTCAAAATAATCAAATCACTTCTTAAATATAAATTGAGAAGATTAACCCTAGGCAAGTGATAACCATTTTACTGGARATGGCAGTAAAGGAACATTAAATCACAGTTTTTATTGCAGGTAAAGATTTGACCTTTTCCTTGACTTGCATCTTAACCAAGGCTGCTTATAGTGATACCTTTCACACTGGCTAATGACACTTGTTTGAAATGGSTTTTCATACGCAATTACAATTTATCCTTTTGGGGAAGCCAGAATTTCCCTTTGTTAAAACAGCTGAAARTATGAATGCAGTCCAGGAACACAATATGTAAATGTTCCTGTCARGTGAATAATATTTTGAAGTTACAGTACCTAGCAGATACAGATGGGAAAGTTACATTTTGTACAAGTGTCTATTGTAGTCGTTTTWTACCTTTTTGTTTGCTTGTTTTTGCTGYACTAACACACTTGATGGAATAAGCAAATGTGGCTAGCAACGATTGAATTTGAGTAATGGTATTTAAGGGGTTGGGGGGGAATTAGCATAGTAAGAGCTGACTTTATTAAGAGGCTTATTTCAAAATTACTCTAGCKAAAAATATGTAAGAGATAACCTGAGCTGAGACACACACTGAGGAAGGGTTTAKGGCACAGAGACCTGGGAAGCATGTGATTTGGATTCTGTATGAGCTCCTCCCATGACTAGCTTTGACCTTTTCATTCCTCACAAGATTTTGGAAATCAAGGTCTTGTCAGGTAGTTCAAAAGCTGCAGTCACCAAACATAGTTTTTATGTGACCTAGGTTACAAATCATAAAAAAAAAAAAGAGATTCCACAACCCTCCTCTTTTTGTTTTTAAAAACCAAAATAATAGTTGATGATCCTGAGATATTTTGTCAGCAGTCTGCAGCTGAGAGCACAGTTTATCTCAATGCAGTATGTGTCTGAAGAGTTCACCAGCATCATTGTACAGACAGTGTAAATTTAACCTGGCCACAACAGACAGCTAAGGTCCAGATAGTCAAAAAGAGGATCAGGATTGCTGTCTAGGCTGGTGCCATTGTAACTTAACCGGAAAAGCACAGCTTTTTTAACTTATCTGTCCATCTTAGAGCAGATGCTGGCAGTCCACATCCCATTAAGAATGAGGAACCACGTTATATTTACTCTCCCACTCAGACAGAAATACAAGCACTGTTCAGAAGCAGCCGCAGCATGAATTTGCTACCAGCGCTGAATGCTGAGCGTGCTCTGCCTTGTGCTAATCCTCTCCAAGCTCTGAATCACACACTGTCCTGCTGGCTGTCAGTGCAGCARTAATGCTGAAGGGTTTCCTTGTCAGAACACTTGCATTGAATGGCTACCACTTAATAATGAAGATAAAGAAAGTGCCAGTAACTTCTGGTAGCGGGCATGCCTTTTCAARTGAGCTCTTGTTCCCAGTGTTCCAGCTCTCCTGGATGGTCAACATCTGCCACTCTGGGGCAGCACCCGTTCAGGAAAGCACCATTCCAGCTGCAGCCACACTTTCCTCAAACTAAAACTAATTTGTTTGTCTGAACAAAGATTTTGAGGCAGGCACCATTCTTCCTTTTAATTGGTTTGTGTCTACACTATCCAGTTTGTAAGCAGAAGTACGTAGATTCTAACTTCTCTTCTGCAGGATCTCAATAACTGTTTCACAGCTTCAAGGACACTCAGAAATTAACACTTTCTCCTTTTATTTATGCAATATAGATTAAAACAGAAATTACTAATTAAACTAAAAGAAAACAGATGCATACGCTTTACAAAAGGGCTGTGATACTTGTTTCAAATAGAACTTGGATTCTCTGCAGGTTTGGTTTGCCCTGGGTGCAGTTGATTACACTTGTATTGGGCCAGTGAGATTTTGTCAGTCTTGACAACTAAGAAAAATGAAAATTACTATGGTACTTTCAATCCTGTTAGCTCTTAATTTAAGCAAAAATTCTGTCATTTTGTCTTTTTTATTTATCACCATTAACCAAAGATATAAAATTATGTGAAGGAGGAGAAAGAGGCTGGGAAAGAAAAGCCCAACAGCACAACTGATTCTGTCTCAGATAAGCMGCACTGCTTTCCCCACTTCCTCTCCTCCTCCTCGAGCTTGTTTTCTGCCTAGGCAGTTACTCCTTGCCATAAGACCAGAAAGTTCCAGTGGTTCTTCCAGTCCAGGCTTTCTTCATTTTTCTTCACCTATATCATGTGGTTATGAAGTGTCATAAATAACAAATAAATATTTTCGGCATGAAGAGACCTCTTCACAAAAACATTAAAAAATCAGTTATTAAATAAAAGGAGGGAAAAGAGACAAATGGGGATAGGAGCTAAGTATGTATCTATTGAAACAGCTGTCATACAAAGCTTGAAAAACTTCCTTTTCAAACAAATATGGTGCAATGACAGCTCTACTTCCTTCTTGCTGCTGGAGTTTGTTCATCCACAGTTTTTTGTTATGAGCTGAGCACATAATCTCTAAGCTGAGAATTCCTATTGCTCATTTATATGGTACCCAGCAGAAGATGCCCCTGCTCTTTGACCAAGGCATTGTAATTCAAATTATTATAATCTTGTGATGCTAAATTGCTTTTCCAAGACATTACCACTTAGGGTCACATAAAGTCACACCAATGTATGGGAATAAACCCCAGAGCCTCAGTGCTAATAACTAGCAAAATAATTTTCCAATAAAATTTGTCTTCTCTCCTTAGTTTTATTTTGAGATTTGGTATCTTGCCTGTCATCATGATAATCCTTCTCCTAAGATAGTAACCTTTGGTTCAAGAGGGCATTTGGTACAACTTAAACATTATATTAAAAGAGGAACCTTAAGCCAGCCAGATTTGTTTTGTGATATATACGGGTAAGCTGGTAGCAAGGACAGACTCTGCAATATGGAAACGTGCACTACATAGAGAGAAGGAATTATTTCAGATGACTGGAAACTGCTCAATGTAGAATTTGGCCCCCTGCTATTTAATATTTCACACTGGCTCTTTCTGTTTAGCATCTAAATGACAGTATCAAATGTTTACACAGATATTTWATCATTCCAGGAAAACCACAGAATTTGGGGAGATTCATGAGCTCACGACAGAAGAACAGTTTGTAGAAGGAAAATACATGGTGAAGTTTGACACCAGCTCTTACTGGAAGGCTCTTGGGCTCTCTGCCTTCCATGAATACGCTGATGTAAGTACTTGCAAATATCCTTAATAACCCTTGTACACTGCCTGTGGAGTGGCATCAGCTGGAGAGAACAAACACAGTCCTTTAATACTGAAGAGCAGCATCCCCCAGTGAAGTGGTTCACACGAGGYTGGGCAAATAAAGGCAATAAACAGYCAGCTAAGACAAAGGAAGGAGCCAGCTTCCCTGCAAATGCTGACACAGCTCTTCCAAAYTGTAGCTGTGCCCATTCACCCATTCATACCAGTAGGGAA